TGTTGCCATATACCAGGCAACTTGTGTATCCCGCTGGCATAGAAGCCCTACTCACTCGGTGACCACCCAGCTCACAACTTATCCATGCCCCGTATCTCCATGCCTTTCCGGGGCTATGCAAATGGGCAGCTACTGTGGCGTGATGACTATTGAGCTATAGTGCCAGCTTGTGGGTACTACATATGCACCCTCTTCCGCCAGCTCCAGAAGGTGGTCGTCATCAAGCTCAGGTGGCCTCCCAAATCGTGGTTTTCGATCTAGTCGAAGTGGCTATTTTCGAACTTATGATTCCGATTCTTGTTGTGCTCTAAGAGGCAATGGAGGGCCCATCGTAACACATATGTTTCTTGTCGCACGATTTGGACTTACATTTTTCTGCACTTATAGAGCAGGAGCATTCTAACTTGCTTCGAGTCGAGAGCGATTGGCTGCTTTCATAGTCCGCCGGCCTGCCAGCGTGCCACGAGGCAGTGCCAGGGGGGAGAACGGACGGCAGACGGTCGGTCAGCCCCTCGAAGGGCTGTAAACAAGGAGAGACAAGATCAAAAACCATTTGTACGAGCCCCTGGTTGTTTGGTTTTTGATCTTGTTCTTCTTCGTTTTCACCCCTTCGACCGACCCTCTGCCGCCCTCCTCCCCCTAGCACTGCCTCGTGGCATACCGGCCGGCCGGCCGGCAGGCGGACTATGAAAGCAGGCATTCTTCCAGCCTTAACAGCTGCGAAAATAGCTACGGCAATTTCTGAGAACTTTGTGAAAATAAGGTATGAGGCCCGGCTTACGCCGCGCCTCATACCTTATCTCAACAAAGTTCTTAGAAAATGTGGTTATGGGAAAGCCACCGCTTCTGTCCAACATTAAGAGCTAAAGCATGGAGAAGTATGTTCTCGACTAAAAAATGTTCCTGAGTACAATCATGGCCCAATCTACTTATCTGCGTTCTAGCGCTCAATACTGTCCCCCAGTACATCACCATCTTCAATTCTTGTATAGACATACATAGCACGATGCCAGTACAGGTCTCGAAATCACAGATTGAAGTACCACCCACTTCACTCCACCCTACTCGCTTCACTCCGCAGTACTCACTCCACTTCATTAACCTGTCCACCAAGATACTGCTTTATATATAGATGTAAATGTAGGATGGAGCCGGTAGAAAAAATTGCGTTCCCATATCGCTACCTTCATCATAATCATAACTTTCACGGACGGACAGACAGAAAACCGACAAACACACAAACCGACAAACCGACAAACCTAAACACTTCAAGTTACTGCTTTATAAATGAGATATATGTATATATATAAACAAACTTATTCGTATTCATACTCCTACTTTTTGCATTGAATACCCTCAAGACCGTCATCAGCGGGACTACTTCGATTCCTTTGTGTGTTATGAGAATACGTTCCATAATGAAATAGACCACATCGTCTTCGATCGGAAGCCCTGTCTTACTAACGTCGCTGTCGCTCCAAAGTTCTTGACGGGATCGGACCAACGTCTCCGCGCTACATTCTGTTCCTCAGTGCGTGGGAAAGAGCCGTGAAGTTCAGGAAGCGAAGCCTCAAGACCCTTATCAGCTTCGACCGCTTCGCTCCTCTGGAGTCTCTGGGAAAATTCGTATATACAACATCGGTAGGGAATACAACCTTCTCGGCGAAGATCTTCAAGAAAGTGGTAGAAGAGCAGAGAGTATACAAGTAGCCAATAGACCTCTTTCTCCGAAGACTCTCGAGCTGATACTCCACGTTGATCGCGTGAACTACGGGCAATCAACTAACGTCCGAAATTGCGAAGCTATGCATGGAAGCGATGAAGGAAGATCTGCAAGAGGGAAGAGCCGCAGTTATGGACGAGGGGGCCGAGTCCGAAAAGAGCATTTGCAAAGCCTGACGGAGCCTCATCAATGAAAAGACCAAGATGACCCCCGCTCGTCGTCCTGGCAGAACAGTTACTGCATTGGGAGGGCAATGGATACCACTTCCACTCTGATCTCGCCAGCCACGTTTACCGTTTACCTACCATTTTGATAAGATGGGTATGTCGCCCCTTCAGGTTTCCCTTCCGACAGGCTATCAGGACGATGAGAATGGCACTGCGCCCGGTCCCGGAGGGACTCTACTAAATATCTAGAGAGTCTTTGGCAGTTTTTGTCTAAAACTAGAATTTTATTAAAACCAAAAAGTATGCGCTTTATCTGTCGGAATGCAGAGAACCCGTTTGTAGGAAACCAGTATTGAGTTGTCCGGAAAGTTCGTGCTGATGTATGGGTCGACTTTGTATGAAAATTTCTAAAAGAACAAATATATTTATTAAACAATATATTCTCCATTCTGCTCTACAATGATCCGTCATCCTTCTAGTAGTTTCATCATCCCACTTTCATAGAAGGTTGTAGACTTAGAATTAAAAAATTCGTCTAGGTGCGTTTTGCAGTCCTCCAATGAATCGAATCATTTTCCACTCAAGGAATTTTACAGAGACCTAAACAGGTGACAGTCTGATGGCACGATATCCGGACTATATGGGGAATGTAGCAAGAGATCCCAAACAAGCTGCAGTAATTCTTGACGAGTGGCCAAAGATACGTGTGGTCTGGCGTTATCCTGGTGGAAGACAACGCCCTCACGATTGGCCACTTCTGGACGCTTCTGATCTGTCGCTGCCTTCAAATTGTCTACCTTAGTGTAGTACCTTTCCGAATTATCGTTTGATTATGCGACAACAGCTCGTACGGTGATTTCCCTCCAATCCCACCAACAGCACAGCATAATCTTCTGCACCTGTATTTTGATTTTTGCAGCGGTTTGTGACAGCTCACTTTGAGGGCTCTACGATCGTTTCCGCTCCACATTGTTGTACAAGATCCAATTTTCGTCCCCAGTT